TAATTTTTTTTCGAAATTTAAACTCAGACAATTATCAAAATCAGTTTTATTGAAGTTATTTGATACAATTCTACAAAAGTATGGCTAATTAGATTCTATCTAAATTTTTTCATAAATATGCAATTTATTATTATAAATTTTGTCCCACTAAACCAATTCTTTGTGATGTTTAGCAATTTTAAAAGTTTTTTTTTTTCAATAAAAATTTAAAAAAATAAATGATAAGATTAACATAACATGTTTTTCTACTTTGTACAGTTTATACTTGCTGTGATAACTCTTTTTCATAGCAAAACCATAAATACGCCAAAATGTAAGCAATTTTTTATTTTAAAACACTTTTCAATAGTTGAATGCATCAAAGTTAAAATTGTCACACAAGACTTTTTTGGGTTCATAATTTTTTATTTTTGATTTAGTAATTCATAATTTTTGATTTTTAATTTTTAGACAATAGCATTTAATCAAAAAATTTGATATCTTTATCCTTGTAGCGAAAAATCATTCTATTAGTTCTCTAAGTAATCTGTGCAATTTCGCGAGTTTTTTCGAATATATGCAAAATTTGTAAGCAAATAATAAGAAAAGAAAGCAAAAAGGAATGAAAAAAATTAGAATATTCACGTGCAATATTGTATTAAAAATTTAATTTGTTTCTATTTGAATTGTTGTTTTATTGAGACAATAAATTAAAAAAAAATATTATAAATGTCAAAAATTAATCAAACATTCAGTTACAAAACTAAATAATTGAATGAAAATTTGTGATAAAAAAAATTGAGTTAAAATAAACTTAAAAATATTGCTGAATGCAAATTAGAAAAGCCATAGGATATGTTGACATTTAATCTTTGTTGAGTAAAATGTTTTCTGTCATTTCCATTTTAATATTTTCATAGATTTCGATTATACTAAGTCTCTTTCAACCCTTTATTCTACTGAAATCAAATATTCAAAATAGTAATTATAACTATTGATGGTCGAAAGATTGTTACTGCATATTAGACTGTTAATGTTAACAAAAATATGAATTTTCTTACTTAATTCAATAAATTAACTACCACAAAAATAAACCCAACACTGCCATAACTACTAAATTTCAATTCAGTAAACAGAGTTTCGATTCAGTAAGCAAGTTCCATTATATTTTAGTCCAAATTGTGCATTATTTGGCTTTGCTTTTCGAGCATTAAGATAAGCTAACAAACAGCATATCATTTTTGTTAAACATTTCAAAAAGATAACTTTAAACATTCCAAAAATATCACTTTTGTTGATGGAATTCCCAAATGAAATGATTTTTTTTCCTGACTTGGTATTCTTTTGAAAAGAGTACAATTAATGGAAATTCGTAATAAATGTAGAAAATTTTCATTGTCTTGCCAATACTTGTATAGTCGTACCTTGTAAATGTTTTTTTTTTTTTTTTTTTTT